ATTTATGAGTATATACGGCATTATATTCTCTTCTTACGTCTGCTGAACTTTTTTGTTGATGCTAAGACCTAAACTATTCATCCGCTTGAAGCCATTTTTAATACTGACCGTCTTTACCCCTAATCTGACAAAACTGGCTGGCGGTTACATAATAGCCGCTAGAATAATCTCCACTCAGCTATCCAACGATCAGAGTCTTTAAGAATGGGGAAAATTACTTCAGATACGTCATGTATAGACGACTTCAATCAAGGTAGTGCACATTTTTATTCAACGCACTTGTACCGACATGTAACGATTTTTTTTTCTTTTATTTATTTATTTTACTATCCGGTAGAAATCATTGTTCTGGAGTCAATAAATTTTCCGAAGCTTCTGACGAGGCTGGTCGGCTTTCAAACTGTTCAGTGTTCAAAAGGTTATTGCTTATTGTTCACAAAGAATATTTGGCATCTGAAAATGCTTTGGCGCTTCTCCAAGATCACCACTGTGAAGATTTTTTTTTTCTTTAGCGATTGTCGTAAAGAATCCAGAATCCACATTACATCGTAAAGCTACTTTCAAGAAATTTGTATCGTTTTGATTTCTCGGCATCACAATAGAGGAGATTACATAACGTCGATTTTGCTGGTCTTACCGCGGAACACATTTAACCATCTATTTGCCCTTGTCGAATTACACGTAGGTGGACGGGCATACCTCATTGAACCATATCCACTTCCTCTCAGACTAATTTATGAATGTCTGTCTCGATTCTTTATCCTTTCAAAATCATTAAAAGATCAAATCTGAACTATTCAAAGAACTGAGCCCTCGGCAAATTATATGATTAATGTCCCAACGCAGAAAGACTATAGAAGAAATATTTCAGATAATATTCTATTTTAAGCATTTCACCCCAAGCAAGGCGGATAGGCCACTAGTAAGCAAGGGGCTATAGAGAGTAACAATAAGGGAAAAGACTGGGTATAGGGGGAGGGGTTGAGAGAAGGATAAAAAAGAACGGATATCAAGGCATCAGAAGATGTCGATTGACATTATATTTTAAATTTTTGAAGATTATAGTTATCAGGGAAGCAAGTAAGAGGAAGGGAGTTCCCCTGTCGGGAAGTGCAAGAGAAGCTATTGGAGTAGAAGGGGTTACGTTTAAGTGTTTCGACAGTTAAAAGGTGGGAAAGAGATGCCAACCAAGTAACACAATTATATTCATGCAGTCAGGGCACCAGTGAAAATGGAGCAGATGTCTTGAAAATATTCATAGAAAAGTCACAAGGAATCCACATTACATCGGTGAGAAAGTGCCTGGTGTTGAGACCCCAAGTCAAGACCGATCACATTGCATATTCTTCTTTGGATTTTGTCGAGAACCTGGAGATGAACAGCGCGATCACCAGACCATACATGACAGCTGTTAGGTAAAACTTTTTATGCGTTGCATTTCTTCATCATGACTCTCCACAACTCTCTATCTCATTTGATTCTTATCAGTTTTCCCCTTTGCTAAGGCACCCGTCCTCTTTCCGTCATCCTATCGCACAAGCTGGCCCACAGCATTCCTCTATTTCTCTTGTCCTCAACATGCCCCGTAAATCCAGCTGTTCTTTCCTGATCGTGACAATAAATGTTCTTTCTGTTGCCATTTTCTTTACGACTGCCTTGTTGCTTACTCTCTCCATTCATGGAATTTTCAGTATCCTTCTGTAGAACCACATTTTTTCCTGTCTCCAGTTTCCTCATCCTTGAAGAGGTTGCCTAGTATTCACTGCTATACAAGAGGGTGGTTCAGTTGTGTGCTATGCGTGATACATGCTTAAGTGATCATATATCTTTCGATACATAATTGACGAGGCAGATTTTTCCTGCAGTAGGTTGCCATTTTCTGCGGTAGACCAGTTGCCATTCAAGGCTAGAGAACCCAGTCTGTCCTACTATTTACCCATAGCTGGGGAATAAGAGGATTCAAACCTTTCCCAAATGTATTAGCGCGTAAGTGAATGTAATTCTAACTCTGCTCTCCGATTCCTCAATACGAGCCGCTATCCATAAACCCACCGTGCCTCCTCTGAGGATGCATATCACATAGAAATCCAGCACTCTTTTCTTTGTTTCGAACTGTCCTGGGTATGATGATAAACTAAATCATCGTCCTGAGTAACACGTTAAACTACAAAGCCTCTGATCAGGTCTTGAGGAGCGTGGAACCACCACTTATTTGCTGGAGTTCCCAGGGCCATTCTGACCCTGGGTGGTAGCACCTGTTAGGGTCCCAGCTATGGGCCAATAGTTAACCCCGAAAATGGGATAAAAACATTATGAAAGTGTAAAAATAGGTTTTAATACCAGAAATACTTTGTCAAAAAAAATATTACCAACAATGTTTTGAAGAAAAAAATATTACCAGCAATACTTTTTTTTTGAAGGGAAATATTACCAGAAATAGATTTTTGACAAAATAAAATATTACCAGCAATAAACATTTTTCGGCATTAAATAACCCATTCAAGTTAATATGCCGTAAAACAAACCAAACCAAACCATTCTTTGTTTCCACTGAATTTGTTTTCTGTTTCTCAGCATCTTGATTAGCTTTTGGAATGCTTTTTTCTCTAGCCCAATGCGTGTTCGGATCTTGGTGTCGCATTTTCCATTCTCTTGTAGCGTCAATGTAGAGACTGAATAAATCTGAGTAAAAGAGCGTAGACATTTGGAATATTTTATGGTAAGATCCTACCGGCGAAATGTCACGCCAATCTCTCCAGAGCACACATTGCTTCTCGAGATATATACGTAGATGAAGTAGCCTCATAGGTGAAATAGGCAAGATGAAGAATTATTGATGTAATGTTGCTTAAATTACATGACGATATTAGAAATGATTTCGAAAATGTATTTCACCATAATTTAAAACAACACTTTAAATGGCTCCATTTATTGACAAAAACATTGTCCATAATTAATGATTAAAGTGAGCTATATGTGGAAAACGATATTTTATGATTATGTTAAGGTCGAACATAAAAAAAACGTAGCTTGCATCTCAGCATCCTCTTGAAAATAAGCCTTCATTTTTCAAAAATTTGGGCCTAATTATTGACTTGAATTTTGTCTTTATATCATTTATATTTTAAAATTTCTCAAACTTTTCGCGTCATTTTTTTATCTGTCTGATTCTGACACCCTCTCTGTTACTCTCCCTTTTTTTTTTTTTTTTTTTTTTTTTTTTTTTTTTTTTTTTGACAAAAATAGTAAAAAATTATTTTATTGTAGAAACCCAGAAGACTGCCCATTGGAAAATATATGCTGCGTAAAATCTCATCGATTGAGAGTCCTAATACTAATATGATATACATTGGGTCTACGAAGAATGATTTATTAAACAATAGACATGAGTTAACTGTTTTTTGCCGATATCATCAAATTTTTGCATTGAATAATTAGCATAAAAACAAACAAATAATTAAATAATAAATAAAAATTTTAAACTCCATAGTCTAAATAAAAAAAAAAGTTTAAAAGCCCTACCCTATAATAATAATAAAAACCTTTATGAAGTCGTCAAAAAAACAAATGTTAGCTAATTATGACAGTTTTTTATACACAAAACCCTTTCAGGAAAAAAAAATAAAATAAAATAAAATAAAAAATAAATAAATCTCCATAGACACTTAACCAGACTAGACGATGTCATCTTCCGCTTTAAATTTAGACACGCCAAACCTTACCCTGACTTGACGCCTTTGAATGTAACTGAGATATTGATACAAATTATTAACCCTTACGCCCCCCCTTTTTTTCAAATAATTGCTCTAGCCGTTACCATAGTAATTTTAATAATGAATATGCTTATAAAAACACGTAAATTTCAAGAATGTTATTCAAAAAAAATCTCGCTTGAAGATGGAACAGAACTTGGTACTTTAATTCAATTTAATTCAAATAATTATATTGAAGTTTTCGGCTCTTGTTTTGAAACATGAGAACTCTTATGTAGCGATGGAGTCATATTTTTTAAATAAATAATTATATATATGTCTGTAATTCTGACTATATATTCTATTTATGTCTGTACCCTGTATGTCCATCTACGGTTAAATCCAATTGTTTTTATACTATGCTTTTTATTGTAGATTTTTGCTTTTACAAAATTAGAATTTTTTTCCAATATATGGAACAATTATAATAAAATAATTTGCTATAATTATAATACATACCAGGAGTACCGTTGGTTCAACGTCTTTTTCATGACTAAATGTCGTAGGACGAACATATTAGACAACGTTTATGAGTTAGGGGTTGAGGATGACAATGTAGTGCTATAGGTAAAGGCCAGTTTTATTGTCCTAAAATGGGCTGGAATTAAAAGACAGTTATCTATTGAAATTGATAAGATACATTCCTCAGTTTGATCAACTCTAATACTCACAGCTTCTTCCGATGAACCATTTTGTGGAACCGTCTCCCATGAGATTGCTTTCCCAACTACTAGAATCTTATTCCGTTTATGGTTAATCGTTATCTATCCCACATATCCTCAAAAATGGTAAACTTTTCTCTTACTCTTTCCATACAAACAACAAAATAATCCAGTAATCTCTGCTTTGAGTAAAAAAGACTTAGAATTGCGGATATTAGGGTTTAATGTTTACGATTTTAGGCTTACTAAGAGAGAATGATGTACTCGATCTAATACCACTGGCTGTTATCTTTTAAGGCCTTGATATGACCTGTTATTCCTGGGCATGTTACATTGTATTTTGGTTTTACATTTTATGAATATACACCTGTCAGGATATGAGAAAGTTTTATCATTAATTTACTGCGAAATGAGCTCTAAGATAAATACATTTCTCATCGGCTGCTTCCCCAAAGATCAGTTTTCACAACAGTTTTCGCCATTGAATCTTTATCCATTTCACTATTAGAAAGCAGACGACAAAGAAATTTCTCTCGATATATCTCGCCAGTAGTTCGAGGAAACCAACCTTTTCACTGGCTTCAGCTTACGGCCACATCACATTGAAACACCGGTTCTTGTACGATCTCCGAAGTTAAGCAAAGACGAGCTTGGCCAGTACCAAATGAGTGACCACTTGGGAATACCAGGTGCTGTAAGCTTGGGTGTGAAAATGGTGTAACGGATAACGGCTCGGATTTAGAAATCGCAGAGCGATCCGATTTCAAGTTCCAGTCGGGTTCGTTATATTCAGTTACGCGCAAATACCACTGGAGAAAATACAAATCCACCACTCCTTTCTCCAGCTTGGGTTAGTTAGAATAATATGTATCAGTAATTCATTATCTCCAAAAAGATTTCTTGGAGTTTAAAAATATTTTATGGCTTTAAATAACCTGCGAAAGGATGATAGGCCGTAGAAAACAAATCGATTTCACGTCCTTCCTCACAATGGGATCGAAATGACTTTAATCTCTATTTGAATCAGTGTCAGAATACCAAAAATCAACTAATTCCACGATGTATATCTCGTCAGCTGCTTCCATATAATTGTCAATTAGGTGCTAAAAATTTATGTTTATTATTTCATGCAAATTATGTTAAGTAACTATGAACAGTGACTAAAATCTCTTGATGGTGTTTGTAAAAAAAAAGAGAGCAAGAGTAGGCTTAAGGATACTTTATTCTGCTTAGATTAATTGATACCAGCGTAGTGACTCTTCTTCAAAGAGAGGTAATCATAAAACAAGGGAGATTACTCCCGATTACTTTATCACAGTGGTAATGGTAAAAAGTAACAGCTTCCATGCAGGAATTTTTGGCTTTCCTTTATCGAATAGTCAGCGTTTATGCTAGTTGAAAATTAAGAATTAATTTTTTTTCTTAAAATATTTTCTTTCTGGAAATTACACACTTCAAGGCTGCTTTTATTGCTCTTCCTATTACTTATGGAAGTTTCCTTCCGCACTTTTTGTTTTTGATAATGTGGAAGGTCCACATCTTCAATATAGCATTATTTCCACATCTAGTTACTTGCGCTACACTATTTTTATTGAAGCTGTTGGAAGCGCTTAAGGGATGTAGATGTTGTTATTTGGTAAAACTCGTGGCGATTTTTACAACTCCAGGGTCTAAGGAAGGGGCGTCGACTTTAGGATTTATAAGCTGTATTCGTTGGAAGCTATTTTTAATTCTTGCTCTTAGAAAACGATTGCATAGGGGTTACTCGTTTCTGAATTAGTTGGACGCAAGTAATGAAATCCGTATGGGGATCTGGAAAATAATAATATTTTAATGACACTATGTCTATCTAAGAAAGAATGGTGGAGTAATTGATAGCGACTCGGATTGAAGAATCGAAGAGCCGAGTTCGAATTCCACCGGATTTCATTAATACCCTTAGTGAAAGTTATAAATCTGTCTCTTCTACCCACCATGTTATGGTTAAATAACAGAACAAACTATAGTTTTTAGCATTGACTGGCACCTAGTTTGGGAGAAGGAAAACCAGCCTGGAGATGCTTGGGCTCCGTCAGTCTGTCTTGTCTAAGAAACACCAAATTACTGCGACTGCAATGTGTGTGGGGCCCCTATGACCCTAATGGCTTACGGAACTCGTAATCTACGTGTAAACTTCAACTCTAACCAAACTTTAAAAAATTTAATAAATATTCTTATTTTTTTTAATTTTATATAAATAGCGATTCTATGATATCGCTGTAAAGGCTTACTATTAGGTTGCTACAAAAACGATGTAACGACGTAATAATGTCGTTTGTTGACGTTACAAACGACGTAATAATGTCGTTTGTTGACGTTACAAACGACGTAATAATGTCGTTTGTTGACGTTAAAAAATACGTCAAAAAACGACATTATTACATCATTATTTTTGCACCAACCTAATATAAAATAATTTAAAAAAAATATTTAAATTGTTATCACCTCTTATTAATATCCATTTCTGTCTCAGTAATATATTAAAAGAAAACAAACTCAAAATTCTGTTTGAGAGCGAATGAACCGGTGTATATCGGCAGTTTCTTTTTTTCATCCTCCTATGTAGCGTGTCCCTTCGGGACCTTGGCAATATTGGCTCCCTATAATTTACTGTCCTTTGTTCTTTATAAATACTGTTATTTCTTCAAAAACCTTGCTCCTCCGTCCACTTACTCAAACTCGCTAGCTTGTTCTCCTCTGTCCCTTTTGCTTTCAACCTGTCTTGTGAGTATCAGATTTTCCAGTCCCTCTTTCCTCATTATGTGCTCTAGAAATTTCAACTGTTGCTTCCTCTTCCGATAAGTGTCTATTTCATTTCCATTTTCTCTAAAATATCATTCCTCACATGTTCGGTCTATGGTATTCTCAGCATCTTCTGTAGAACTATATTTCTACTGCTTTAAGTCTCCTCTTCCTTTTTGAAAGAATTTCCCAGCATTCTCTGCCATTTTGGAATCTTAATATTACATAACAATTCAGTACATTTTTCTTTTGTTTGTTAGAAACAAAAGAAAAGTGTACTGAATTGTTATGTAATATTCTTGTTTAATTTCTATGTTTAATTTTCTTGTTTCTTAATACTTTGCTTAGCTAATGGAAGGCATCTTTTACTATCTCGGTGCGCCTTCGTATTTCACTGGCGCACTTTCCGTCTTGCTGATTAATAATAGATGCATGCAATGAGTGATTAGAATGTTAGCGTTACGTCCATAAGACCCGGCTTCAAATCCCAATTTAACTTCTTGACAATAGTGAATTGGAAGGTGGCAGAAAAAACATATCACGTGTGATATGAGGTTGACAAAATTGTCAATGCTCGCACAAAGTTACAAATCTTCGTAACCGAGGGTCCGATCGTACAATTTTTGATCACGCCAGATTATATCACTCTCTCCCAGAAAGAGTAAGCATGGTCTGCTCAGAATAGTATAAACCACAGGTTGGATGCATTGACTGGGCGTTGTATAACAGTTAGCGAGCCAATCTCCCAGAACCTTATTACTGATAAGTCTGTTCGATCCTTACTTAGTTTCACCACTATCTTAGGACACTAAGCTAGGCGAATTAAATCACAATCGTTTCTCGATCCCTTGATGAAACCTGAGATTAAGATCAAAGTCTACTTTAGCGTGTCCTTAGATGACACCATCCTGTTTTCAGTTAAAAACAGTGGATCATGATTAATGCTCGAGTCGTTCTAAAAAGAGGACGGTGATGGAATTCAAAAACTATTGGTGCTCTCCGCTTGTATGCTAGTCCAGGATAAGGTTAATTACGGCTTTACGCCGTGTTCGTCTTGGAGAACCTTTAAAGGCCGGCCGGTGAACCAGAAGACTGCTGGAGTTGTCATCGGCGTCCCACTAGCGGGCCACTAGGGGTTTTCGTGTAGGGTAGCATCAATTGGGTGCACGATGAATTGCGACTCGGATTGAGAAATCGGAGAGCCGAGTTCGAATTTCAGTCGAGTTAATTACATTGATTTACGTGCTAACACCCTTGGGAAAGGTATAAATCCATATCTCTCAACCCTGTCCAAGTACGATCAATTTTCTAAGCGTAGCTTAAATCTGGCACAAGACCGAAAGTATGGAGCACTTAGTGACAATCGAACTGACTTTTCAGTTGTAATTAATTTCGCGAGACAAAATTGCTAGCCATTACACCACGTCGAAAAGCACCCCATAATATATGGGTAACTTGCAGGACAGACTGGGTTTTATAGCCTTGGGTGGCAACCGGTCTAGGAGAAGGAAAATTCTGAATTCAAAGCCGGAGCCCTGTGACAAATCGATGTCTTGTTCAATGTCGTTTTGGCAACCTCCTGCGACGACGCCTGTCCCAAGCTGTATTGGCCTCTGACTTGGACAACATTGGTGGCGTCGAGAGGGGAGACGTGCTATATAAGCAACTCTCGATCACTAATAGAAATAAAAAAACAAAGGTCTATCTCGGCCTGCGCCTTGGAAAAGGGCGTAACTCTTCGGGCTCAGATGGTCTCTCAAGATCTACGTGAGAGTTATTCCAACATTTCTGCCCTCTGCTAGGATTTAGTCATTTCCTGCATTAACAAATTATTTTTTTTTATTCTTTAGTAAAACCTGGACAAAAGAATGATTAATGACCAGGATAAAGAATTAATGCGAACATATCTGACAGGATATGGTTGTTACATGCTATTGTCTGATTATATTGCTGATAATATTATACTTTGAAAATCAGGGGAAAAAATGAAGTAAACTTAACTGACAGTGTATGTCTGTTACATGCATAATTTAAATGAATTCATATTGTTTGTGCAGGGGAATAATCATCGAAAATGAAAAATAAAAAAAATTAAAAAAACGTAAATGTAAACTTTAGTGATACAATCGAGTTAGATTTTGTTAAAATAAGATTCCTCATATGATTTATACCAAAGATGAATTTTTCTTCATTTATTTCAGATGTTATCATTGGCGGGGTTATAGCGTTAGGGAGAGGTGGTAGGTTTGGTGGCTGGTGATATTTAGCTGAATTAGTATATTAGTACATATCAATTAGTATATAGAAATAGCATGCAAAAATTACTTGTACCATTTTTATCGATATTTGCTTCCTGGTTAAGAAATATATTAAACCCTTAATTTTATGGAATTTTTTCCATGGTGCTTAATATTGTGTATTTAATCATGATTTATCTTAAAAACTGTTGCTTTTTTTTTTATCCTAATAGTTTTTGAATAGCTTTTTTCCATATTCTTCTTTTCTTGTACTATTTATTTTTCTTTGTCTGCTATAAAAAAAAAACAAAATAAATGATTGTAATTGTAGTACTTCTTTATAATTTAGAAATGCTGTTCAGTTTTTGAATGTTCTTTAGATGGTTGGAAAAAAATTCTACAACCGCCTCGGAAGATGAAAGTTCGTTATATTGCCATATATATATATATATATATATATATATATATATATATATAAATAATCTGTGTGTGTGTGTGTGTCAGTAGGATATAATACAACAAAAAAGTACGCAATTTTGTTCTTTCATTCCGACCGGAAGACGCCAATCTATCAGACATTATACAGACAACATATTTTCATTCAAACAGATTTGGTTAAATAATTTCGACATGCCATGTCGATTTATTTTTCGTTGTGAACCTTTTAAGTTCGTGTATTTT